TTAGGCGATGGGCTTCCCTTCTTGACTCAAAACAGCACCAATCCCAATTCCAGAGGCATCACATTCAACTTCAAATGTTTTCTCAAAGTTTGGCAAAGCTAATAGTGGAGCCTATGTTAAACAACCCTTGAGTTCGTTGAATGCTTCATCTTGTTCTTTGCCCCAAGAGAAGTTTGAATTCTTTTTAATAATCCATGTTAAGGGGGTGGCAATAGAACTGATGTTTGGTACAATCCTCTTATAAAAACTAGCTAATCCATGGAAACTCCGAACTTAACTAACGTTGACAAGCTTTGGCCATTCTTGTAATGCCTTAATCTTTTCTGGATCTATTGATAATCCCTGTGAACTTACAATGAAGCCTAAGAAAGTAACTTGGTTAGTACAAAAAGCACACTTCTTGAGATTAGCGTATAAGTGCTCTTCTCGTAAAGTGCTAAGAATGGACCGTAAATGTTCAACATGCTCGTTCAAGGACTTACTGTATATCAAGATATCATCAAAATAAACAACATAAAACTTACCAATATAAGGCCGAAGGACATGGTTCATCTAACGCATAAAGGTACTAGGGGCATTAGTCAAGCCAGAAGGTATGACTAACCACTCATACAAACCTTGTTTACTCTTGAATACGGTTTTTCACTCGTCACCTTCCTTCATTCTAATATGATGGTAGCCACTTTTCAAGTCAATTTTGGAGAAGATGCTGGCTCTACTAAGTTCATCAAGTATATCATCCAACCGATGTATAGGATGCCTATATTTAATAGTGATCTGGTTCACATCCCTACAATCCACACACATTCTCCAAGTTCCATCTTTCTTTGGCACCAACAAAACTGGTACATCACAAGGACTTAAACTTTCCAGAATGCAACCATTGTCTAGGAGTTCTTTGACTTGTCTTTGTAATTCTTTCGTTTCCTCGGGATTGCTCCTGGATACTGGTCTATTAGGAATGGTGGCTCCAGGAATGAAATCAATTTGATGTTAAAATCCTCTAATTGGTGGTAATCCATCTGGAATTTCTTCAGGGAACATATCTTCAAATTCCTACAAAAGATTAAAAACAGAAGAAGGCAAGCCTTCAGGAGGGTTAGTAAGTAGAAAACTTTCCTTATACATAAGTATAAGTATAGCCTTCTTGGTTGATAAATGTTTCCGAACATCTCCTTTGCTGGCATATATATTCATCTTCTGAGTATGACTTTCTTTGGCCTTCTTTTCCTTCTCCCATTATTCCATACGTGACTTAAGGGTCACTTGGAATTCATGAACTTGACTGGGAAGCAAGGGCTCCAATATGATTTTCTTTCCTTGATGTTGGAAAGATACTTGTTAGAAAATCCATCATGGGTAGCCTTCTTGTCAAACTGCCAAGGACGTCCTAGTATAAGGTGACTTGCACTCATGGGCACCACGTCACAAAGGACTTCGTCACTGTATCTTCCAATTGAGAAAGGTACAACAACTTGTTTGGTTACCTTGGCTTCACCAACATTGTTGAGCCATTGAAGTTTATAAGGATGAGGATGCTTGGAATTCTTGAGACCCAACTTTTCCACCATGTGAGTACTTGGTACATTTGTACAACTTCCTCCATCAATGATCACCACACAAACTTTATCTCCCACGTGATATTTTGTATGGAAAATATTCTCTCTCTATTCATCTTCTTGACTTTTAATATTCAAAGCCCTTTTGACTACAAAGATGTTGGATGGAAGAGACATATTAGCAAATAAGAAAAAAGGAAATGTGTTTAGGACCTTACCAATATTGCTCTCACAAAGCCTCACGAGTCACTCCAAGGAAACTTGAATGTCACTCAATCCGTTCGTGTTTGCACTCTAGGACTTTAAGGCTTTTACTTGTCCTCTTCTGATCTCACACACGCTCACGCCTTTTTCCTCTCAATTCTCTTTATCCCGAGTTCTAGAGGACTTTACTCAAGACCGTATCAAGTAAATTTTACTTGTGGTGCGTCGGCTGCAAAAGGGTTAGTAGGAATGGAGAAACAAAATATAATGAAAGGGTGGCTTAGAAATAGAAAGAATAGAACAAAAGGGTTACCTACACAAAGTCACTTTACAACCTTCTATCACCACAATCAATTTAAAGGCTTACTTGAATGGCTTGGTGATGAGAATTGTTGATGAGTGCTTCAACTTTCTTTCTTTTCTTTTCTTTTCTTTTTCTTCCTTTTTAAGTGCTTTCAATTTCTTCTTTTGAGTGCTTTGATTTTCTTTGTTGGATTTTTTCTTGATTTCTTTCACTTGCACTTCTTTTTGTATTTTTGTTGTTGTTGTTACACATTGCTTCTTCCACCAAAGCTATAATTACCGCTTGATGTAAGGTAATTATACCTCTTCAATTGATTGTGGATCTAGGAAGGAAGCAAAATAACCTGCATAAGTGAATGGCTCAAAACATATGGTTAAGGGTGGTAAATGTAAAGGTGAATAGGTAGGCTATTTATGATTTAAGAGATGGTAGCGGAAGGATGTTGATTTGGCTATGGTTTTGGTTGATGAAACAATGGAATGGTTGTGAGGATAGTATCTTAAAGAAGACTCAAAGAAGAACCAATGCTATAGAGAGAAAAGACCCAGACTTTATATTGCTTCTTTAAGGGGTGGTATTAAGAACTTGGACCCACTATCTATATGGAGATAGGAACCACAAGTATCAAGGGAAGGGGTTTACACCACAAGTATTAAAAATACTTGATAAGTGCATAAAAGTCACCAGGACTTAAGAAAGAGAATAATCTCACTTTTAATTAATCAAAAGGTCTCCTTACAAATGAATTTTGATGGCCTATTTATAGGAAATTGAGGGGCATGGCCGAATAGAGACATGGTGGTTCGGCCAGTCCTTGTGTCTCCCTATAAAGTCATAATTTAATTACAAATAAAGATGATGTTTCGATTGAAATGAAGGGTAATAACCCTTTGCCGAATAGCTCTTGTGTCCCTTCAAGTTGGCACCAATAGTTAGAAGGCTCTTTATCTTGGCGCCTAAATGAGACCACATGCAAGGCACATGGGGGCTGGTCATATGGCACGCACATGGGTGTTCTAGGGAGCCTTGTGGTGTAGCCTTGTACATGGGATGAAGGCTGGTCATGTGCATCTTCTTGGGCATGCTTGTGTCTTCCTCCAATCATGCTTGATTGTGTAGCTAGCTAGCAAGCAAGGGTCTGGTTGTGAATAAGCTTTCTAGCCGAGACCTTGTAAGCTTCATAACATAATGTTCAGCTACATTCAGCTACCATTGATATCACTTTTGGAAACTCAGCTTCAAATAGTCCAACTAGCTGAGATTAGCTAGCCTTGAGCCCCTCCAGCTGAGTTGAGCTTTCCTTAGTGTTCCACGAGCTACCTTGTACTTTTTGAGATGATTGTGAGCTGTATATGATGTCCAAATAATCCACCAAGCTGCCCCAACGTGTTTCATGCTCCAATGTACCTACATGTGCAAGAAAACAAGGTAATTCCATGGTATTGAGCTGATATGAGCTAAATACCTTACTGTCATGCATGATTATGGTATTATGAGCTATGTTTGCATGTCATGAGCTAAATATATCATCTTATAATGTGGGTGAGCTAATGTATAAAGTCTATGAGCTAATAAGAATGCATATGATTTAATAAAATGAATGATAAGTATGTTGCCTTGATGTATATGTGATAGTCATGCTTAATATGATTGTAAGACTATTCTAACATGTTTATCATATTAAAATAATGATGTGTTCATACTAAGTTATTCTTTAACTATTAAAACATTATATAACATAACATAGGAGGGTGTTAAGTTATCAAATGAATTAAAAGCTTCAAGACACTTAGTTAGGAGTACTTCCCTGAATTGTTTGGCCTTGACCTAGTAATGGGACCTTGCGGCATGACTTCCGGATCTAGAGTAGGCGTGATCACATCATAAGGGTTAGAGATTGAAAGCATAATTGGTAATTGATACCTGACAATGGCACGTGAGAGGCACGGGGTTCATTAATCCATCAGCTGAGCAGCCTAAATCTGAAGCCCAAGTCATGCTGAAGTAACCAAATTAGTTAGTTAAGGACAGACAGCTGGGTAGCTTGATTCTCTAGTACAATTGTATACAAATAACCGATACATGTAAAGGGAGATTATGCATATTTTCTGAATGAATTCTTGATTTCTCATATCTCTTCTCCTTCTTCTTCCTGAAATCTCTTCTCGATATTTCCATTATCTTGCAACAATCACAATTTTTTTCAATTATAAATAAGAATCTTTGTCCTTGTGACACACTTTTCTATACTCTTATGGCACGCTTTTTCTCTACTCTTGTGGCAGGTTGCTTATGGCTTTTGTAAGTTTTTTTGCATACCTCTATGGTCGTGTTGGTGCTTGCATAAAGATTCTCACGACATTTGTTTTCTGATTGGTTTGTTCACGAATTTTTAGTTCTTCTCTTTGGTAAAATGTGGTTTGCTGATATAATCAAAATTGGCGAAGCAGTTTGCCAAATTGTTTGGTTCGTTGTCCACTCCTATATTACTTTATAAAGCAACTCATTCGACAGAGACAAGATTTTTATGAAAGTTATTGGATTCTTTTGTTGTTAGACGTCATTCTTAATGAAAGTTTTATTTTTTCTTATCTTTGAGTTTAATATTTTTTATGTATGAGGTTTTTTTGTGACTATTGTCTTTAATTTTTTTTCATTAGATGTGCTGTAAATTTATTTCCTTTCACATTTTTTTACTAATGAAACTCAGTTACCATCGTTAAAAAAATTCCTCTAACTGCTTTAATAATTAGAAAGAACAAAGAGGTATAATAGTGTTTGCTTATTTGAAATATGATTTAACGATCTTGAAAATACAAGAAGAAGTATATATATAAAATAGTATTAACCCATCAGTTAAATGCGAAATTTCAAACGGAAGAACAGAGGAATAAACGTAGTTTCAAACTGATGACGACGAAAATACAACAAGATGACTGAATAACTAATGTATGTGCTAACAACTGTTCAAACATATGTATATAAAAAGAGAATATGAAACTATAAAAATATCACAGATATTTCAGACATCCGATGCCTAAAATTCTGAATGATCTCTGTATTATTATTTAATTTTACAAAACTAACAAGAATATGTCACCCTAGTAGAGCGCTATAGATACTAAAACCAACAATAAGGCTGTGATTCCAGTCAACGCTGTCCTGTCCTCGCCTCCATTGTCACCTCGTTGCCCTGAAAAATTTCCCAAGCAAAAAATAATATATTAAGACTAATCAATAGGCAATTCATTCTAATCCAATATTTGACATTTTTTAAAAGGTAAACTACAAGTTCAGTATTTTAACTATCACATTTATTTTGGTTTGATCAAGTAATTAAATTTTTAAAATTATACATAATATTTTATTTTGATTTTACTTTGATCATTGATGATGTTGATATGTTATCAAAAGGTATATCATATCATCATTTAAAATAAAAAAATAATTGATCAATTATTTTGTTTGTTTATTTTTTTGATGGTGAACGATTAAAGTAAAATCAAAATATAATGTTAAACATAATTTTTTTTTAAAACATTAGTTTGATAATCAAAATAGAGCAAAAAAATATAATTGAATACTAAACGTTTAGTTTACGCTTTACTAGTATATGTTTATATTCAAGTTTGATCTTAAATTTGAAGAGAGGTCGAAGATATGGTTTGTTACCTGGTGGGGGTGGAGCCGATGTAGGAGAAGTAGCTGTAGATGGAAAACAAAATTTTAAAGAAGAAATAATTACTCCGTTGATCAAAGAATTCAACCATATTTCAAAATTGGAAATCCTAAAACTATGAATTAACTAAGAGCATAGCGAAAATATAATAAATGAAAAGACAATATTTTACTTCCATAGGTGTATTAAATTTAGATAAAAATAATATTAATGGTATCAATAATCATACTAAAATTTTCTAATTAAAAAAGTGGAAAAATCAGTTCAAATTAACTTTATTGATCGACTTTGATTAAATAAGTTATATGGGATCAATTATGATAATTACTTAATTTTGTAAACAAATAAAAGAGATTAAACTGAGCAATTACTCGGTGGAATTATAAGAATTCACCGAGTTATTTTCAACAATATTTTAAACTCTTATATATTTTAGATTTTTTTTGTATTTGAATTAAAAATTTATTTTCATCCTCTATAATTTAATAAATACATCTTTTTTTTAAAAAAAATATAATTTTGTCACCTAACACACATTTATCACACCAAATCAACTTATAATTTTTAAATAGTTTGGGAAGATTGATTGTAAGATCATATTTATTAAGAATTTTTCCCTGTTAACAATACACACACTTTGAGATAGAACTGTTTAAATCCAAAACAACTAAAAAGAAAATATTTTTTAATTATTGAGACTACTTAATACCTTAACCAAACTAACTCGTGTTAAATCTATTAAAACCTACATGATTCGATTAATGGATTAAAATATGATGATCCTTCTATTTTTTTCCCTTCACGTTGAAACAAGTGATTCAAAAACAATAACAATAAAAAAGCAATTGAATTGAACTGCTCTCCCAAAATGAAAAGAAGGGGATACCAAGAAGCAACCAAATCCATGGTTGTTTTAAATACAAACAAATGAAAGAAACATACCGTTGTTGCAGTCGCTGAGATTAGCATTGACACCGCAATCACGAGCGATCCTCAAAGCATCAGGGACGGAGACGTTGAAAGAATTAAGCAAAGTGGGATCGTTGAAAAGGCTGCAAAGGCAAGTGAATTGTGTACGGACGGCTTCTCTGATGGGGTTGCAGCAATCGTCTTGCGGTGGCGCGCTGGTGTTCGTAAGGTACGGAGCGCAAGGGATTAGACTTTGTGCACACGTCTCTTGCGCATCCGTTACTGTCGCCGCTGCCAGTATAGCAAGAACCGCTACCATCAACATCTTAGGAGCCATTTTGTTTGTAATTTGTACCTGAACCTGCCATGGCTGGGTGCCATGCCTTTCCTTATATAACTGCGTTTTGGGGTTTTCGTCAAAGAAAGAGGGCGAGAACAAAGTAGAAAGGTAAACTATAACGCGTCCTTGCTTGTTGTTGAATCACGCTCCAGTATTTGCCGTGTTGGAATTTTTTTCCTTTTCGGGGAATGTAATCGTACAATGTCAAATTATTTTAAGCTAAATTACACTAGTGGTAATTAAACTTTTTAACATGTTTGTATTTTAATTATTCTTTTTATAGTACAAGTGATTATAAGATATCATATATTAATAATATTTCTTATATTATATGTTAATTATTCTTTTATCATATAAATGTTGTCAATTTTTAATGAAAAATGATGAGTTTAGAACATAATGAATAGTCGGGTGACCATTTTGCAACTTTTATTAGTCAAGGGACTCAACAAGGTAACACTCCATAATCAAATAACTATTTTATAACTTTTAATAGTCGATGGATTTAATTAAACAATACTTTATAGTCGGAGGTCATTTGTATATTTTACCCTATTTTTAAATAAATTTATATTCTCAGATGAAATAATGATATTTGTTATTGTCTTATTAATCAATTAAAGATGAGATAAAGATTTGTTAAAAGGAAGAGTTTAACTCAAGGAAAAAACTACTAAAACTCACTAAAAATATTTTTATATTAATATAAAATATTTTTGAAATTAAATTCGTGTTAGAATTAAGTATATTTATTTTATGAAGTGCATTAATTATATTATATTCAATTTTTTTTAAGAATTTGTACCAAATTTTTTTAAGAATATATTATAAAAACAATTTATGATTTATTTTATATAATAAAATGATCAATGAAAAAGAGTAAAAATATTATAAAATATAATAATTAGAATTTATGTTGTCTATTTATTCTTATAAAATTTTATAATGTATATTATAATTAATATATCTTATATATTATATTTTAATCTTCTTCATTGATCTTTATAAATTAATATTTTTCATTTTTTGTTATAACTATATTCTTAGAACTTGATTTTTTTTTATGATTTTGTTGTAGTTAATATATTTTTCATAAGATAAATATAATTAAATTAAACTCCAATTTAACTTTGGAAACAGAAGATTATGTTATAACAATATCGATGTCCCTTGTGTGAATTTATGAGACTTTACATCCATTTAGACTCTTTTAACTTTGGACATCGATATGGGCTTGTGCTTCTCCTATCATCCCATTCTTCATTGTGGTTTTGTATATAAGCAGTTCACTTTTAAGCTCCTTCATCGCAGTCATCGTCTCTGCCTTCATACCTACGAACATGGCTTCGGGAGCATTATCTTAGTCATCCAACTTCTCATGTATCTCGTTGAGAACTCCTTGAGTCTCGTCCTTGAGTTTATCCTTTAAGGACTCTAGTCTTATGAAGCATGGTTCTACTTCCTCCTAGGCTTCATTGACTTCATTCATCAAATATTCAAGTCTGGTAACCCTCCTATTCAAGGATGCAATAATGTCCCTATAACTTCCTTGATTCCTCTAGACAGCAGAGGTCTCGACTCCTTCAATACCTAGACCTTGCCTTGGTTTTGTGGTGTCAGTCCTTCCACAAACTAGCCCAAATACCACTTTCCACACCCATAGAACCTCAAACCCTCAAATGTGTGCCGTAGACATTTTCAAATGGTGGAGCACCTAAGTAAGCATGAACAATCCAAGGGAAACGGCTTACCTCAATATGAAAACAAAAGGATCTTTGAAAGAAAATGGCACACAAAGACAAAGAAAAAACAATTGAGTGATGCTCAGTGTATTCCTAAAAACATAAGTGATAAAATGAGGTAGGGATAAACCTCTATTTATACTTGAAGCCCCTATATCCAATGGCTAACATTAAAGTAGATCGATGATCAATATTATATCTTATCTATAAAATCTCATAATACAAGGAAATCATATCAATCTAATCAAATTATAGCTTAAATAAAAGATTACAATTATTATGAAAACAAATAAAAGAATCGTGCATTAACCAAATGATCTACTTGTCATATCCAAACTACAAGGCTCTTTAGCTCCAGGGGAAGGACTAGCTCGGTTGGGTCTAATAGGCCTAGAATGTTGTTGATGTAGTTCTGAGTAGCCTGGTTTATGATCTGTGACATTCTCCCCCACTAGATATACACACCCTCGTCACATAGCTAGGATGATATTGGTTTATCTCGGATCTTAATTGCAAAAGGCCCTCAGCATGTTCCCAACTTTCTCATTGGTGAAAAGTCACTTTCATTTTACAAAGTCACTTTGTGTGAGTTTTCTCAGCCTATATCTTCCTCATCTTTATGACACGACTTGAGTAAACTAACAAGAAACACTAAATGATCTCAGATGTTTGATGAGAACTCCAATTGCCTACTCGCTTCAAAACTCGGAATGAACCATTATATCTTTGCACAAGCCCTTTATGCACATTTGGGCTGTACAAGATCCCAATCAATTTAGCAAGTAATAGATCACTAACTTAGAAATTTACGTCATGATGCCCACTTCTTGATCTGCTTTCTTGCCTTGTATAGACAAACTTGGGCTAATTCATGATGCTCTTACTACTCCTTGACAAAATTGTGTGGCTAGATTCTCCTCCTCATACTTGGTAACAATTATGTTGGGTGTAAGCAGTTGTTTCTTGGTCATGATCTTGAATGGACTTTGGTTTGTGGCCTCATTCTGTTGCAAGTTGTAAGAAAACTAAGTGTAGCACCCCTAAAATCAGTTTAGTATTTTTTTTCTAATGTTGACGATCTACAATTATTTTATGTTATTCAAATCAAGTTTCTGAATCAATAATTTTAAGTTAGAATAAATCCTAAAACTAGTAAATTAATTTTTGAAATTCCATTAAAAAGGACCAAAATGCAATAATTATGAAATTTATAACTTTGAATGAAAGCAAAGTTGAAAGGCTCATTCATGTGCATGCTTTTGTTAAAGGACCAAAGCCTTAATTTATCCAAATCCAAAATATAATGATTCATTTCCTTAGGTGTCACTTGATGCAATTTTTGGTGAATTTTTTATTTAATAAAATTTGAAATTTTGGTACAATTTGGAGCGAGTTTCACGTCTAATGCATGTGGGGATAGACAAAATTTTCATTTCATCTCGTACATTTATCCTTTCACCATTGTTGAAACTTCTCCATGCATTCATAGTCTTCCAAGTCTTATTTATTGCAATCTATCTATTAGAATTTAATCTAATCACATATTTGAATTGGTTGAAGGAACCTTCAATAAAAAATGAGAATCAAAGGTCCAAGGCAATGGAATTGTGATTCGGGACACTTCAAGAATTTAAAGAAATCGATGAGTGTAGTTGCATGTACGGGTGACTCAGTGTCACTCTAAGTCATTTTTTATAACCATTTTAATATGTGGATTCATGTGGTAAGCTTTGGGCTCATATAGAGCAATGTATGGCAAATAAAACACTAAGGTAATTATGCAACAATAAGTATATACGTGTATTCATGTCAAGTTTTGCAACAATATGTTATGGTAAGGTAAATATGCTTTGACAAGTATACTAAGTAAGCATGTAACAAGTGAAATATAAATTTCTATGTGATTTTTAAGTATGGTAAAATGTGATATAAAATCATGTATAAAAAATCAACTTATGTTACGTAAAGGAGCTAAGGCTCACTTGCTGATTATGATATGTTAAAAAAAAGTATTACCCTTAGATGATAAGTTTATTTTCGATACAATTAGTATGCCATAGACTCCATTTGGACTCATGTCAGGATTTAAATTATGATTTATGGATTACAATCCTTATTTAGCAATGTTGGAAGAACGTTTTTGGTTATTATTGATGTTGAAGAAATATCGTTCACGGTTATTTGGCTATGTGTAGGGGATTCACATAGTCATATCTACTTAAAATCCAAAGGGCTAAATTATGATTTCATGATAGAAGTTCTTACTATAAAGTTACAAGTTATGATATGATCATTATGTGTTAAATTGTCACCAAGTATGTTGTGAATAATTATTCATGTCATGTTAATTTTCTTTGCATTATGATCTACATCACTAAGCTAAAAAAAGCTTACAAATATTTGGTTTAACATTTTAGAAAATCAAACTCATAATTCGTGATCGTATTTAAGGGTTACGAGTCATTCCTTGCCAAACCAATGTAAATGACATTTTGATTACTCTCCTATACAGTGGCATATGTGTTTTTATGTGTAAAGTGTTTTAATAATATTGATATGTCAACTTTAGCTTAATTATGCATGTTTTGAATATATATATATATATAAGCATGTTGAAGTTTTACATGTTAAGTTGGGAATGTTTTGGTTGATTTACGATCAGGATGGTATGTTTTAATGTGTTGGTTTGGTTTAGATTATCTCATATGATAAATAAGTACATTTTTATGGTGTTTATGATGATTTAGTACGTAATATGCAAGCTAGGTTGCATAATGATGTTGGTATAAAGTTGTTATTATACTGAAGCATGCATTTGATTGTATGTTGATTGAAAAATACATGTTGATTTCCAAAGGAAATGGTGAAGTGGCATAGGTTAATTTGGTTCCCTTCTCATGTTTCAAAGCTTTCTATTGTTACTTGGATGGTTATATTGGATAGATTGCCTACCAAGGACAGATTGGCTCGATTTGGGTAGTGACTGATGGTTTGTGTATGCTCTATGGTGTTGGTATGGAGTCTAGGACCATTTATTTGCTGAATGTGTTTTTTCTTGACATGTTTGGGTGAGTATTTTGGGAGTTTGTAGGTTGTAATGTAGGGACTTGTATTAGGATGAGTTCTTTTTTGTGGGTGATTGATAATTTGAAAGATGACTCTCTTTTGGTCTGAGTTATTAAATTAGCTTGTTCATGGCTAAAGCTGGTTCGACTACGTTTGTTATTGGTTGTATAAAGGAAACAATCTAGATTAAATTGAGTGGGTAGCTTATTGACAGAACTGATAG